TTACTAAACAAAACAGATAAAAATACCTGTGCAATCAAAGGCTGGTGAGAACATAGAGAAAATAAATATTAAAAACCATTGATGGGACTGTAAATTAATGCTGCCATTGTGCCAAACAGCCTTGAGGCTGTGCAGAAAAGGAGAGGAAAACTCCCACCCCTTCCAATGCTCGGAGCCCTGCGTACAAATCCAGGGAAAGCGCAGCGGGCATGAGGGACAGCTGCGTGCGCAGACTTCTCCGTGCACTCCTCACGAGAGCTGAACCGCGGGATCAGCCCGAGCGCCTAGCAGGCTGCGGACGGCTAAGGAAACACAGCACATTGACGTGGTGGAGTGTTATTTGGCTACACAGAAAAGGACATCTTTGCAGGAAAATGGAAGCAGCGGTGGATAGACGGTTAGACACTAAAGGCAGACGCAGAATGACAGTAAGGTAAGGATCGCTTAATTATTCCATATGTGAAAACTTACATTATTCAATCGATCAAGCAGTTCATGGATCAGTCTTGAGACCTGAAAGAAGAAGGACTTGAAGTATTGGAAGGAGAACGAGGAAATGAAGAAGACAGGAGGGAAGAAAAGCGGGCAGAGAGAAGGTTGGCGTGATGGACGTGTGATATAGAGTAGGGGGACGCCGCAGTGAAAACTGCATACTGTACGAGAAATCTATGCTGGCATTTATAGTGGGGGTAAATAATAAAAACCTGACAAAGTGGAGCAATCTATGTAGCACACACACGGACAAAGAGTATTCTGAAAATATACACGGGTATAATACAAAACAGTAAGAAAGTGGATTCAATATAATATGGTATTTCTACAGTAATCCATAGTATCTATTATGCATGTATAAAACCCTAACATCACAAGAGCGACTTAATCTGTTATATTTAGTTCCATTATTTTCAGTTTATTTGTTTGTTTCTTGCTGTGCAGTTCACCCCGGTGTTGGAGTTGCAGCATAGCCCAGGCTGGCGTCACGCTTGGGGTGATCTTTCTGCCTCGGGATTAGAGGAGCTCATCACCATGCCTGGCACAGTAGCACTATTTTTGTATATATTTTAAAAAAATACAATTATCAAAATATTTACCTAAAGGTGACTGTTTGCCATAAATAATGAAAAGTATATATCTAGGAAGAACATTCCGAGATCTTTTCAGGTCATGATAAAGAAAAATCTCTGCAACACCACTGTGCCAGGCGGCTTTCCGAGTGCTGAGCACAGTGCCCGACAACAGGACCCGAGGAGGGAAATGCCCTGGGCTCATGGCTTCCATCCATGGCCTCCTCCCCAAGACAGAGCCCCATGGTGCAGCAGCCCGGGGTTCATGGAGGCCAGGAAAGAACAGAGGAACAGTGCCAGAGGGGAGAGGCCGGACCACACGCGGTCCCCAAGCACACACCTCTGACGCCTTGCTACATCCCTGCCAGGCAGTCACGGGGACATCAGTCTACACCATCACGACCACAGAGCAGGCCCCTTGCGAGGGCGGCCCCCGTGCTCTGCACCACCTCCCAGTCGCTTGTGTGAAAGTACAAGCCAGCTAATGACACTCTGTGTGCCACACACACTTGCAGCGTGGGTTACTCTGAAATTGGGAACACCGTGGCTCCCAGAGTGGCGCAAGGCTACTTCCTTTTTTCATGAAAACAGAAAAGGAGCAAACATTTACTTGGGAGAGCTCAGGTCGACAACTTCTGACATTGCCAGTCCTGAGGATGACCCACTACTACTATGGACTACTGGACTATATTGGGATATTTTACTGAATTCACGCACCTACAATATTTAAATGGCAATGGAATAGCCTTCTCTGACAAAACTAAACAAAAAGGGATACAAATTAATGACCACTTTGTATCTATGTATACAAAATAGGATAGATATGCAGCTACTTTCTCAATTCAATGAGAAGAAAGATTTGTACATATAGTGTTTGGACAGGATATCATATCAGCATCTTGTACTATGAATAACCACCAAGAAGATAACAATATACAATGTATCAGTTATTGAAACTCTCCTACTAATCGGTTTTGAAACTGTCTCATTGTTTACACACCTATAATATTCAATAATGTAACTTAGAAAAAATGGGGTATACCGATGAATGTCCATTTTGTATCTGTGTATTCAAAGAGGTTGGGATAGATGTATAGTTGCATTCTCTTAATGAATGGAATGATTTGTTCTAATGGTGTTTGTGAATGGGATCACAGGTCCGCATCTTGTACAGCAATTAACCACTGAGAAGAATATATGCAGTGTATTATTTGTTGAAACTGTCCTTCCGATTTGATTTGAAACTGTCTCATTGCTATCTCTTTGTCAATAAAACTTTGAAAGAAAAAAAAAAGAAACTGTCTCATTGCTATTTGTTTCTCAATAAAGTTATTTTAAAAAAAGAATGCAGAAAAAGAAATTTCACAGCAGCAAAGCAGGAGAACAGCAGTGAATATGCTATGTATCATTGCATTGAAAATTGTTACTCATTGTGTGAGATACAGAAAAAAAAAAGCATTCTTACAAAAAATGGATAATAGCACAAAACTTTCCTATCAATGAAATAAGCAAAACTAGTGGAGTAAACTAAACAGTTAGCATATATACGTAAATATTTCTGAAACGATGGAATCAGTAGTTTGGGAAGTGATTTGATGTTTTCCCTACATGTTACTTATCTATCCCCAATGCAATATTTAAACTTGTGTGTCTGACCTATTTTCCTTAATGTTATATTTTCCAATTCCACACATTCGCATATGAATGTCTTAATTTTATTCCATTTATTACAGAGCAGTCCCCCATTATGCACTAAATGCCATTTAATCCTTACCTTGTCATCCCCTGAGGGACATATCTGCTATTCCTAAGATCTGGCTGTTCTCACCTGTGCTGCTGTGAACACAGGTATACATTAATCCATGTACTATGATGGTATCAGCTCTGTTGGAAGCCATCTGGAAGGAAGAGCTGACCTCTACTTATGAGGGTTTATGAGGGATCTCCTTACTGATTCCATACTTGTTCTAATTTGAGACATTAGTTTGGAAGAGTGTCTCCCCCACACCCCTTAGCACTGTCTGTCATTATTAGATGTGTTGGTGACAGCCATTCTTTCTTGGGTAAGATGGTATTGTAGTGTGGTTTTAATTGACAACATTTTTTTTCAAAGTTTTATTGATAAACAGATAGTAATGAGACAGTTTCAAATCTAATCAGAAGTACAGTTTCAACAAATAATACACTGCATATATTCTTCTCAGTGGTTAATTGCTGTACAATTGACAACATTTTTTAATGGACAGTTATGTTGAACATTATTTTGTGCAACTACTGGCCATTTGTACTTCTTTTGCTGAGAGGAGTTACTCATTTTATGGTGACCTACGTTTCATTTATTTATTATTTATTCTTCATTAATTTTATTGAGAAACAAATAGCAGTGAGGCAGTTTCAAAACAGGTTAGTAGGACAGTTTCAATAATTAATGCATTTTATATTGTTGTATTCATAGTGGTTATACCTAGTACAAAATGCAGACATGATATCCTGTCCAAACACTATTAGTACAGATCTTTCTTCTCATTGAATTAAGAGAAAGTAGCTGCATATGTAGCTAACTTTTTGTATATACAGATACAAAATGGTCCTTCATTTGTGTCCCCTTTTTTTGTTTAGTTTTGTCAGAGTTGGGTATTCCATTGTCATTTAAATATTGTAGGTGTGTGAATTCAGCAAAATAATCCAATCTAGCCCAGCAGCCCATAATAGTAGCAGGCTTTCCGTAAGACTGGCAGTGTGGTGACCTACTTTTTCATTGGGGTGTTTTTATTTTGTGAAGGTCTAGTATTTTCGGTTTTTGTATAATCTAGCTATTAGTCCTTTCTCCAAGGAATAGCTGGGAAAATTGTTTTCCCTTTCTGTAGTTTGTCTCTTCACTCTGTTGGTTGTTTCTTTTACAGTGCAGAAGGTTTCTCTTTTAATATCATTCCACTTGATAACTCTTGGTTTTATATCTCCTGCCATCTTGCCATCAGGATGCTGTTCAAAAAATTCTTGTCTATGCCTATGTCTTCAAGAGTTCTACTTACTTTACTTATCAGATTAAGTCTTTTTGTTTCAGCACTTAGGTCTTTGATTCATCTTGACTTTAGTTAGTACGTGGTGAGACACATGAGTCTAGACTTGATCCTTTCTGCATGCATAGCCGGTTTTCTCGCACCACTTACTGGAGAGGCTATCTGTCCTCGTGTGTATGTTTTCAGCCTGTTTGTCACAGATCAAGACGCTATGTGTATCTGAGGTTATTTCAGCACTTGCTAGTTTGTTCTATTATTGCACATCCCTGGCACTGTGCTGGCACGGCACGTGGTGCTAAGGATCAAATCCCGGGCACTGAGCTTGCCTAAGCAGGTATTTTGGTCCACTGAGCTATCTGGCTGGCCCTATAATTTTTATTTTTGAAAATTATATTTGGATGCACAAAACCCTGTTGCACTACCTGTGGGGAGCTGGGAATGATGCGCCCTACGAGTTGAGCTTCCGACTTTCTTCTTGCTCATCGTGTCTTGCCTAACCATGTTGCTAATGGTAGTTGAGGTTGTCTTGGAGACGCTGCTGCAGCCCCTGCTGAAAGGCACGTGCACGGCTGGGGCCACTCCTCTCCTAACACTTGGGCAAGCCTGGTCACTGTTCTAAGGAGTGGAGAAGTCATGACCTGGTAACCTCGAGTGCCTGAGAGTAGCCACTTCCTCTACGCCATGGGGCATGTCGGTGAGCGTCCCTTCTAATGTGGGTGGATTAGGGACACGAAAAGGAACCCTCATAGGAGTTTTCCTGTCAGTTTGTGTATGGAGCCTGGACTCACTGCTACAGTTCCCGGGTTTTGACACCAATTTTGTTAGAAAGAGGTCATGTCATGCTCTGACAACTGCAGCTCAGCATCCCGATGACATTACCAAGGAAACATAAAAGAAGTGCAAGGAAGATGTTTTGCAGGAAGGGATTTATTTGAGAGCCAGAAGGAAAGTTAAGGACACAGCTCAGGGGCAAAGCTCTTCCCTTTTAGGGACAATTTTTAAAAGCATTTTTCACGGTGGAGGATACTCAGGTGCAGCACAACTGGAAGTAGACGTTGTTGATGTTGCAGAATCCTGACGGATTCTCTCCGGACTCGCAGGCCGGCCGTCGGCACGTGCACTCGTCACTTCTCCACACCCCTGGGGACAGAGAGCAAGCACCGCCCGCCGGCAGCCTCAGTCGCACACGCCCCACAGATCTGCTCTCCAGGGCCTTCC